CTTTACACATCAATTTTCATTATATTTGTAGTTTTGTTGTTTTTATATCATTCTATTTAACAATAAAGAACAAAGATGAGAATTAGTAATTAACCTTCAGAAGGTAATGAGTTTGAAAATTTTAGGCTAAAAAGGAATATTGTCAGCTGAACATCTCTTGAATATTGTCAGGCAACTGAAAAAAACTTTTGATCATTTATGTTAATGTTTATACATTTTTTCAAAATTATGGAAAACTATGGCAATACACGTAATTTGACATATGTTTTGGGATCAAATTATTGTTTACTCTATTTAACGCACTATTATTATGTTCGCATACCATTTTCTTATTTCTTTCATACATTTTACCTAAAGTAAACTTTCAAAAATTCAATAGCCTTTTCAAGAAATTTGTTAAGGACGAGCGTTGATTAGTTTTGTTAGATGATCAGCCAAGTCATTTCTTAAGAATTAGCTGAGAGATGCAAACAAATGTATCAACATTTTTGCAAACAAAACCTGAACTTAAGGGGATTTGATATAAATGTATAAATTAATTTTTTATTTCGGCGATTTGAATCTATATTGCATCAATATAATTTTCTATTTTGGCATATTTTACATGAACTTACACATATATGGAGTATTTTAATTCGTTGAATTGGTTTCTTTTATAAATAAACATTACTTCTTTAATAGCTATGAATGGCATTTCTTACAGCCGTGATAATTTGTGCAAAAATTCTAATAATTATAATAAATGAACATTGATTATATATGAATAACAAATTTATATTTTTATTAGACAAATTTTATGTTTTTACTTAGTCAGTATAAGAAATATAAAACGTGAAACCTGCTATTTGGTATAAAATCATCTGGTTTTCCCACTGTGTATAGAGCTAAAAATACTATGCACAAATAAATATCACGTGTACTTGAATACCGCCAGTTGATGTTATAAGTATTCCTGGGATGAGGACAAATCTTAATGAGTACTTAAACCAATCTGGTCAAAATTCGTATACGCATAGATGTGATATATTTATTATAATTTTATAGTTATTTTTATTATTTATTCATTTATATTATTTAAGGGCACTTAACTGAAATTTGATCGTTTATCAAAATTACACTTTTTTTTGTTTTGCGCGATTTAAGATGGTATTATTTTATTGCTGTGCGAATCGCACTTTATTATATGTATTTTCCAAAATACCGACGAAAATGATTAAAATCTTTATGTTGGTCAGTTATGTCTTTTTGTCTAACAATATAGGAGTCTAAGGTTTAGTTTCGAAATTTTATATGAAGACTTTAAAAAGTTATACATAGATATTTTCTTAAATAGTTATATTGAAAATTTATTCTCGCTGTTGAACAAGTTTGTTAGAATTTGTAGAAAGCAAAATTATCTCCCAAAGCGTCGATAACCATAACAACATTAATTGTAAATTGAAATTTTGAAAAAAATTATTTAGGGACAAAGAATTCTGAATGAGCTTAAAAAGCTCTGTGCTTTGTGAATCATACAAATAGAGGTTACTATGGAAAGTGGCAGAATAGTTCTAGAATTATATATATATATATATATATATATATATATATATATATATTATAACAATAAATAAAAAATATATAATAAATAAAAATCTTAATAAATATATGTTATATATTCTCTCTAAAGTATTTAAAGTAAATTGCTGGAACTTTCCATAACGTAATGAAAAATTCAAGAAATACTAAATGTTTTCAAATAGAATATTATAAATACTGTAACTGATATATGTTTACATAAAAGTAAATAAATAAAACTTAAACAATCAAATTTAAAATGAAGGACATTGCCTAATATATTTATAAGAATTATATAAACTGAATTGCAAAGCTTTAGAACTTTAGCCAGAATTAAAATTAAAATCCGAATTATTTACGATATTCAAAAAAAAATTTTTTTGGAAATTAAAAAAAAAGTTCTTTTCCAAAAACAATCGTGTCGTTAACACAAGCAGAAAGTTTTTTAAATCGAAAATTGCCATTTTGTGCACTTTAGCTCGGCAACTCCAAAGCGACTGGATCTGCTTTTGCCAAAAATTAATCACCACTTCACTTCATCATTATTCATTGAATGTTACTTGAATCATTCGAATCGGATGCTCTGTTCTCTCAAAAACTCGATTTCTATTTTCTGCACTCTTTGCTTCGTTTCTCCGTAACGGTCGGACCTGCCTCTGGCAAAGCCATCTCCCTATCAAGACATCTCCCTATCAATAGGAATCGAATGTTTTTGGAACCATTCAAATCGGTTGATCCGTGCGCCCGAAAAAGTCGACGAAAAAATGCGGACATACAAAATACACACACACATCCATTTAGTTCTGAGGTACGCCAAAATGTTCAGAAACCTTCAAAATGTGAAGAAATGCAAACATTTTCATTTTCGATTTTCGGCTCATTACTATAACTTACCCTATAGGAAGTTTAAAATTGCATATATCAGCAGTTAGTAAAATTGTAAAATATTTATCTAGTAATTTGTAAATACTGTAATCATTATAATTCATAGTTAATATAATTGATATACCTAAATGTAATGATATAAACAAATACATTTTAAAAATATGCCGATGCTAATTTTATAATCAAATATCGGTTTGAATGATTGTGGATTTATATTTAATAAAATCTCAATTCCATATGCAACTTGTACTGGGTCACCCATGTACATTCAAATAAAAAATAAAGATATTTATAAATATCATTCCCGAGTTCTTAATTTAGTTTCTCTACGACGTCCGTTAATCCTGCACGCGCATCTGATTCCGATTCCTGGATGAGAGGAGTTAAAATGTTTCAGAGGGAAGAAAGACGGCATTAACTGCGCATTTGGATATAATTTTAACCATACACCTCGCACTCGTGCCTCAGATCCCTCTCAAATCAGTGAGAATGATAGTGTTGTTTGCCAGATCAAAGTTAGACCTATTTTTCCTGGAAGATTGCCAGAATAAATTCGTGTGTTTCTCATTAGGAATAAAATATTATTGATATATTGTAATAAAAATGATTGAATAAAAATAATAGTAAATTACAGTTTATATTCATAGGTAATATGATACACTGCTTATTGTTGATATTTTTTATAATAAATATTTTTTTTACAATCAAAACATTTCGTTGGGCTAAGCTAAATTTTATATTCCGTATCAATATAGCGGTTAGTGCTATCGACTTCCAGTGAGAAGTTCCCTGTTCGATACCCGCCTCGGACAGCCTGATTTAAAGCTGCAGTCAAGTCAAGAAAATAATGTTGGAAATATGTCCAAGTGAAAACAGCCCTTATCCTACATTGATGCATCAATATAAAATTCATCAGTTTTGCTGATATAATAATTCTTCTTACATTAGAGTTTGTCATAGAATATAATATACAAGGAAATGTAATGAATACATTAGTATTACCGAAAAACAGATGAGATGTTCCAGAAATTAAAATAAGATACAATCAACAGTATATGTTTGGAAGATGAAGTTATATAATTCAGTTCAATAAATATCGCAATAAGTCCAAAATTCCATATACATACATTATTTCTTGGAACTTATGCATTTTGGAACATGTCGCATTTTGGTTTACTTTACTAAATTATTTAACAGCTGTATAAAAAAATATTTTTACTTATAGAAAAAATGATTTAGAATTTTGTTTCATATGTCAAAACTTCATTTGTTATGGAAGAGTTAGCAAATTGATCTTAGATTGAAGTGTGCTCATATGAACTAGATTTTACACATTAATTCACCTAAGATTTGAACGTAAACAATGATGTTTATTAAATTATTAGTAAAAAATGTACTTTAGAAATTATAATTGGCAAAAAGCAACTAATATATCTTCAAATGATTTGAATTTTCATTTTAGAAAACGAGAATCCATCTAAGATTTGCTTATAATCCTCAAAATTTTTTGTAAGTCGCTATTAACATGTTTGCAAATATCATACCAAATACATAATATACAATCAAATTTAAATTTTATTCAAAATTAAAGATCATAAAGTATATAATTTTCATAATAGGTAGAAATTTTCATACATAAATTTTGTTTAGGAATTAATTACAGGTAAATGAGTAAAAATTAATGATATCGTGAATAAATGTTTGTTAGTCATTGAAGTTCGACAGTTTCAGAAACGTTTACGTCAATCAGCAACTGTTTCTGCGAAAATCCGTCATGAATTTTATAAATAAGCCAGGAGAATTTACGTCCATTGATTGAATGCCGCGTAGAGCCAAATTGAGGCGCAGATTTGCCATATCGAGGACATTTGTGCCGTAGTTTGGCTGAGACTTAAGACTATAGGATGTGCCAACGTGTGTAAATTTTATTATAAAGTAATGACGAAATTTCAAGCTAATCTTTTAAAAAAGTCAGGTCAACCCGAGAAAAAAAACATATCTCCGGCACAAGGAAAGCAAGGTTAAAAACTAGGACTGTCCCGGCCAAACCGGGACACCTTGGTTAAATCTGAGAAGCATTTTTTTCGTCAAATGTTTTACCAATATTATACTACATTACTTTCAAATCACCAAAATTTTTAATTGCCCCCTATGGCCCCCTGAATTAGCGCTCCACGTTGCGAATCACTTGACAGATTTGGTCGGAAAAACGTGGCAACGAAATATGGCCCGAGTAGCGATCTACTCGGGCCATATACTCTTCTTTTATCTACGCTTATTGCTAACTTGTCCCAAAGTTTTTCTCTCCATTATTTCCGAAACAGAAAAAAAACGATTACATCGGATCACATCAGTGTTGCCAATTTATAAAAAAAACGATTATATCGAATCACATCAGTGTCGCCAATTTATAAAAAAACGATTATAACGGATCACATCAGTGTTGCCAATTTACCGCTGTGCCATCTTTGGGGACGTTTTCGTATTATGACAATTCTGGGTCATTTTTGACATGTGAACAATGTTACTGCTTTATAATTTTTGAACATATTCATTAAAACTATACACTATACCAATGGTCTTATGTTATTATTTTTATTATTAATACGAATTGGTATGTATTCGTTCATTTGTTGGTTATGATTGAGTTATGGACGGTTGTAATGTTATATTATTAGTAAGTACCCATAAATACCATACAAGTGTCATTGTTTATTATAAATAACAATTGTGTCATTCACTAATTTATTGCAGATAGCGGTCGTATTCTTTGGGATAATATATAAAAACATAAACTTCGATTCAACTGTTAATTTAAATGAACATTTTACTCTGTTGAACAGTGTGACTTATCAAATTGGCAGCAAAAACTACTCATATTGGAGTTTGTCCTACCAAGGAACGATTCTTATAAAATTGTTTTCAATGTAAGTTAATTCTATATTTTGATGTCAATTATAGTTGACCACCAATTATCCAGAAATTAAGTTTCAATTTAAGATCTACTTATTTACACTTACGAATACAATTTTTTTGCCTAATGTAGTATGTTAGTTGATTAAGAGTGTTTTTATCCCTTTGAATGACATAATATTAAAACCTAACTTTTTATATAAGATTGTCTTACTGTAAAAATTGCTATCTAACTTTTTCTTCTTTGTAAAAAGAACATTTTAGACACAAGTTTTATTTGTTCATCATTAGTTTAAAGTTGGAATTAATTTTAATGTGAAATATTTAACACTAGATATACCAGCCGTTTGTATATACCTATTTCTACCAATACCAGTCAAAATGACTGGTCTCTAAGAAAACAAATTCATTGTGTTTTTAAGTTGAGCAAAACTAATTACAGCTGTTAAATAAACTTATGGATATTATCAAATAACAAAATATATTAATTTTTAATAGTTTTTACAGTACTTTAGCACAATACTCAATAAAAGTGTCCGGCAGCACTCACTTGTTTGCGCGTAAAATTACAGCTACCGACACGTTTTTAGATTTTAATTTCAATGCCATATGAATAATTATAAAAATAATATCGGTTATTGCATTTATACCCTTCATGATATATGTTTCAAGAATTTTCATTACTACAAATTCGCTTACAGGGGTTGATTCTTCGTCTTTTGCTAAATACGGGCAACCATTTACCATATATTTTGTTTCTACATCAGATGTTAGACAGAATTTTATGTAAATTTATAGTTTCTTTGGCCATTACTGGCTAAATATGCTTCTGGCCTTTGTTGGAAAATTTTATTCAAACAAAGTGATATGAGCTCCCGGTTTGGAGCAATTTTTGCTATTTGTTCCAAAAGCGGGCTTTTTTTCTATAAATTTGGCCTGAGTATGTGTCTGAAAGCTATTTGAACTTCTAATATACCTGCAAAACCTATTTCACTTTACTACAAGTCTTGTACAAAAAGTTTCGTCCAAACCAATTTTAGTTCCCTGATTTGGTGCATTACTTCCAAATTCGTCTTCAGAATTGGAAGAAAGTGGCTCGCATCGTCTCATACGTTTATTTGTGATATCTATCCATTTACTAACGTACTTGTAACTTGTAACTACTTGTAGTCGATAATAGCACTGTCTTGTGGATTGATTTGTTTATCTAAAAATTCACCCTCACTATCATATATTTCAAATCCTAGGTCCAAACATTTCAGAGATCCGCTGATTTTATTTTTCAAACAAGCTAAAGAAACATTGTTTCCATTCTTTTTTCGAAGACTGACAGTCGCTATAAAAATAAGTCGAAACCATGGCAGTTTTCTCGTTTATAGTTTTTTTTACTCAAGAATATATTTTTGAAAATTTCTGTGTCCACGCGAATGTTACTTACTTGTATCAGTGTACAAAAAGAATAAATAATTATACTGAAAAATCACTTTGAATAAAATTTTATTTAGTGTGTTGAACGAAGCTCGAAACAATTGTTTTGTTGGTAAAAATCGAGTAATACTTCAGTAATCTGCATTTTTACAATGTCAAAAAGAATAAAGAATAAATAATATATATTGTCGTCGATAAGAGAGTAGGCGATAAACGCATACGATCTATGTCTGTTGTTATTTCGGTTCTTTTATCAAACATTTTCTATAGAAACTTGCACCAGTCATTTTGACTGGTGCTGGTACAAGTAGTAGTAACACAATTTATTTTTGTTACTAATATATATAAAGTAACTTTGCATACACAAAATGATTTCTATACTTATAACTTAAAAAGTCATAACTTCATTTCACAAAACAAATTTTACATATAATGGGAATTTTGAATTGAAAGTGCCCAACCAGTCATTTTGACTGGCGTGGTATATCTAGTGTTAATTCAGAATCTTATTGCAACATCATTTAACCTCATTTCTATAGATCTGGAGATTGTGATTTGTATATATCAAAAAATGGTCTGAAACCGTTGGTAGATCCATTGAGATATGATTTGCATTCAGCAACTTGTGGAGTTGATGAGGTTTTAGTACCACACTCGTGAGTATAGTTTAAAAATTACTCATTCGAGTTCTTCATAATTAAAAAAGAAATGCTCTTCGAGTACAGAGATAATAAAAGAATATTGTTTCATATAGAAAATATTTGAAATCTAGATATGATATGCATGAATTAATTTCAGTCTTTCATTTATCATTACATAGATATATTGAAGAGAATTAATGCTTAAAAGTATTATGTTATAATCTTCCTTTTTGGAGTAGGGAACATTAATTGTATTATAATTTTATTACAATGTTTTAGTTTTAAACGGCCTATTAGCATTGGAGTCTATGGTTATTCTGCTTCTGAGAAGAATTTGTGTCAGTTAGATATTTACAAACCCATTGCAGAAGTTGATGTAATATCAGATTATTTAAAATTAAATGGTGGTATGTATTTTAATTACTAATGGTACTGCTAACTTATAATTAATTTATGTATTAATTTCCTATTTTTTAACACCAATTTTTTTATTGTTAATTTATTTGTTAATTTATTTGTTAATTTACTAATTTTTAAGTAATTTTTCAACTTGAATTAATTTATTAAACAGTATATTTACAAAGATAAATTCTGTATATGATTTATTCTGTATATAGATCAATTATAATTTCATTAATTAATAATAATTTTTTTTTTTGGTTTTAAATACTGTTTAAGTATATATAAAATATATCTATGTTAAAAAAAATCATAGAAATTACAATGTTATCAAATGTTTCACATATCAATTTTATTTCTTGATTGTTTTTATATTATTCTTTTTCACATTTTGCAGAATACGTGAATTTTGAGTTATTACAACAAGATCATGAATATGCTAAAGAAAACAGGATAAATTTAGATATAGAAAATAGTAGGAACAGAAATAATTCACCAATACTGAAAATAATTGTTCAGTCTATACTAAGCACAAGTTTTGTGATAGATGCCTTTCTCGAGACATTTTTAATATTAATTTAATTAAGCTGTGAAGGATTTATTATGGAGTCTTCAGATTCTGATGATCCACCAGAAGTGGAGTCAAAGGTATACCCAAATTTGGGAATGCTTGACTATGAAAAGGAAATATTTTTAGATGTTATTCATGCAGATGGCCTTGTTGTTGCTGCTAGGTAAGGCGAATACACAATTATATATAAATTAAGGTTGAAAATGATACTATGATATTAATTTGAACAATGATAAATTGTGATTTAAGTGAATTTTTATAAAAATGTGATAATAAGCCATTATAATTTAGAAATTTAAAGTATATACTATTTTCTTCATTATTTAGTTTAATTTTAAATAAATTTATAAATTATATGGTAAAACTAAGATTATCTTTTTTATCAATGGATATTACATATTACATAAAATTTTATTGGAAATGATTGAATTGATTGATTATTAATTATTGTTATTTAAATTTATATACTAGTTCATACTAGATACATTTTCATATCCCATGACTGTTTTTTTTTCTAATAAATTTGAATTCAACAATATATCAGTTTATTATATTTTTAGGGGGTTGAGTTGTAATGTTATTGTACAAAATTTAATGAAGGTATATTTAGATCCAGCTAATCTTATTATTGTTATTAATGCATCCAGTTTTGAGGAACAATACTTTATCAGTTTCCTCAATAGTGAACATACCCATGTAGCAGCAACTACCGCTCAAGAGAGGTATATTATTTTGAGGGTTATTGCATTATAAAACTATGAATGGTATTAAATTTGTTTTAACACATAATGTATTATCTGAAACATATTGGATTTTTTTTAATCAACTCATATTTCATATTAGCAACAAAAAACACATTTTGATTTTTTTAACATTATGAAGATTAAATATGTAAATGATTTTAAATAAAATGCTCTATTTTAGGGAATCTAATTATTTAAAAGGTGGTATTCATTTTGTTTCTACTAGAATTTTAATAGTTGATTTGTTAAAGGAACGTGTACCAATATCATATATAACAGGAATAATTGTTTTACATGCTCATAGTGTAATTGAGTCATGCCAAGAAGCATTTGCTTTGAGACTATACAGGCAAAACAATAAGGTAACATTACTATAGTTTATATAGGTGTTTATTTTTTGTGTATCACTTAAAGTAAGCTAATTCTACAGTTAGTTTTTTAAAATCTAAGTTGATCTATGCTATGAAACAAATACAAAACGTTATTAAAATAGATTATTTGTATCAATTATTGGGAAGCTTTTTGCAACAATGATTTATTTCAATAATAAACATGAATGCTATTAATCTATCAAAAAATCCCTATTTTTCAATACCATTGCAAAGTATATTAAGTTAATTATATTTTTCTCAACCCATAATTAGTAATTCAAACAATATTTAATTTTCCAGACTGGATTTATTAAAGCTTTCTCTAATAATGTTGAATCATTCACATTCGGGTATGGAAATGTAGAAAACGTTATGAAATCTCTTTTTGTAAAAGAGTTGCAAATATGGCCGAGATTTCATATTTCTGTGACTAACTGCCTGAAACAATTTGAACCTATTGTTATTGAACTTCATATTCCGATGACGGACAAAATGGTTAGGTTACAGACCTGTCTCTTAGACCTTATGAATTTTACTTGCAGGGAATTTAAGAATAAAGAAAAAAATATTGAACTTCATGTAAGCATTAATACATTTTTCACATAATATAAATTCAATATTTTTCCGCATTCACTTTTTATATGTACTTGTTTTTTAGGAAATAACAGTTGAAAACTGTTTAGTAAAGCAGTTTCAAAAGATTTTGCAAACGCAACTGGAATGTAAATGGCATCAACTTAAAACTACTACAAAACAGTTACTGCAGGATTTGCAAGTTCTCAGAAGCCTTATGGTGTATGTAAAAAAATAACAAATATTAATTAATTTGTTTGTCAACTTGTTGATCAATTTATTATCCAAATTTTATAATAAATTAATTCGAAAAAATCAAGATACCAAAATAATTACACTGCATACTACATAAAACTTTTTTAATTAATTGAATTATTGCATGTTAATAATATGCAATAACTTTGAAGCATCAATATTGTTTAAGTTCTTCTAAATCTTTACATATCTAAAATCGTAAGATTGATTTAAAAATTATAGTGATAATAATTATTCATTTTACTAATAAAAGTGCAATAATTATTATAATTTAAGGGATATGATGTATTCCGATGCAGTTTCATTCTATGCTAAAATGAGACAATATCGAACAGCGGAATATGCCAGAAAGAATTTGAGTTGGATTTTATTAGATTCTGCTGAAACCATGTTTGATTTAACAAAACAAAGGGTTTTTAATGATAAACAAGGTTACTATCCAGTTTTCACAATAAGACGACTTCAAAAAACAAAATAATAAGTAAATTTTGATAAATTGAATTTTACTTTCAGAATTTGATCCAGAATTTTGTCCAAAATGGAAATTTCTATTAGAAATTCTTCGAGTTGAAATTCCTGCCCATATAGGTGAACATCAATCAAAAAGCAGTAATACATCACAAAAAATATTGATTTTGTGCAATAGCCAACGTACATGTGCGCAACTTCAAAATGTTCTGAAACTTGGCCCAGAAAAATATTTATTTGAAAATGCATTGAAGGAAGAAATAGATTTATCTAAAGTTTCCAAGCAATTTTCAAATTTCGATGTAAAAGCAGTTTCATCATACTTCAAAATTACAGGAAATTCACAAGCTAACACAACAGATGAAACAGATAATGTTAGAACACGTTCGAAAGCTACTTCTACAATATCTTCTAAGTCTGATGGGAAACCATCTAAAGGAAACGTTTTATTGAGAAATCTTTGTGCAGGTACTTGTTTCTACAGATAGTTTTATTAATTTAACGCAGATTAAATGTAAATTAAATTGATAACATAAATGAACTATTTGTTAACAATAATCATCTCAAATCTCAGATTCTGCAAATATAAAACTAGATGAAAATATTGAGCAAGCACAAAATGAAGATGATTTAAATAAAGTCTTAGAAACTGAGGATAATGCTTTTAAAGAAGATATAAATAAATCTTGTTATCTACTCACATACACGCAAGATTTGTGTGGGTCTGATATTTTGAAGAATAGTACACAGTTATATGAAGATTTTGATGAAGTGAGTGAATGCTTTTATTTAGATATAACCTTACCATTTATACTTGAATCTATGTTTATATTTTTAAATTTCTTATTAAAATTTTTATTTTTATATTAGATGGAGAATATGGATATGACACGCATATCAGAAGATAAGCCTATGATTTGCATATTTTCATGCAGGTCTATAGATGGAAATATGGATCTGACTAAATTGTTATTTCAAATGCAACCACATTATATTATTATGTATGAAAATAATATTTCTGCAGTTAGGCAGATTGAGGTAATTCAAATCAATGTCAAATAATACATTTAAAAAAGATTACAAAATCATTATAATTAAACATCAAAATTAAATACTATTTTAGACTTACGAAGCAAGATTGGGAAGACCGTCACAAGAAAGAACTAAATTATTTTTTTTGATTCATAATGGTACTGTAGAAGAACAATCTTACTTAACAAATTTACGTCGCGAAAAAAGGGCCTTTGATTTTATAATAGAAACGAAAAAAGTAAGTGATAATATTTTTAAGTTTGTAAGATTAAAAGAGTAAAATATCTTATTATGCATAACATGTTTATATGTTGTGTTTGTGTTAACAAAGTCTAATAATTGGGCATTTTTATATGTGTATGTACATCTTTTTTGAAATCTTCCTAACTTGATTGACTAATATTTTCAATAGTTTTGTGAGTAATTGAAAGGAAAATGAAATTTATTTCTAAGATTCATTACTCTTCAGAACATGGTGGTTCCAGAATATCAAGATGGAAAAAGTGAAGGAAATTATTTACTTAAAAAAATAACGGCTAAAAGTCCCCAAAAAAGCACACGACAAGCAGGTATTTTTATTTGCCATGTAACTAATTACTAATTTTATTATGTTATTATATAACAATATGTTTGCTTCGTTTATTCTACAAAACTTTAAAATTTTATTAATGTTATCGAGTACATTTATATATGAATTATGTACATGATTAATTTGCTGCAGATAAATCTATAATTACTTATATTATATAAAATCATGATATTTGTAAATTCATGTTAATTTAACACTTTCCACTAGTACATTGCAAAAGTAATATGTATTGTCATATGAGTGGAAAGAGTTCATTACATCGTGATTTTTTTTTGTGCACAATTTAAAAATAAATATTATTCATAGGTGGACAAGAAGAACCAGAAAAGCCCGAAGTCAAACCAAAAATAATTGTAGACATGCGTGAGTTCAGATCTGATTTGCCTGGTTTAATTCATATGCGTGGCATTCATATAGAACCAGTTACAATTACGGTAAAAATTTACATATTATGGCAATAATTCCATTTACTTCCAGATTTTTTTTTTTATATTAGCATATAAAAAGAAAATCAATTATGTTTTAATGCAAAAGGTAAAAAAAGAAAACTATTTTTTTGTAAAACTTTCAACTTTTTAATTTTTTATCTTATTCTAATCATTAATTTTAGCAATTGTATTTTGAATGATGTATTTAGAAATCATATTTCCAATTGTGACACAATATATTGTTCTATAAAAAATAATAAAAAATATTATGTAAGTGTCGAGTCGCATTCATTCAAGGTTCTTTCATTTTCATTTTTGGTTGTAGGTGGGTGATTACATTCTAACCCCAGAAATATGTGTGGAAAGAAAATCAGTATCTGATTTGATTGGATCTCTCAATTCAGGAAGGCTCTATAATCAATGCATTCAAATGAGTAGATATTATAGTAAACCTATGCTCCTCATCGAGTTTGATCAGAATGGACCTTTTAATTTACAAGTTAGTCGTAATTGAAACCATACTATTGTCTTGAATTAAATTTACAATGTTCTTTTTTTGCATCAGGGACATCATTTAGTTTCTAATGACAAGGCAGGTATAGGCACAATGCAGAAATTGCAGTTGCTGACAATACATTTTCCAAAATTGAGGATAATATGGTCTCCTGGTCCATATGCCACCGCTCAATTATTTGAAGAATTGAAGGTATATGTGTAATTGAAATTATGATATTAACTAGATTTATTATTTAATGATATTTTGCTAATATGCATGCAATTGATAGCATTATTTGGAAATGTTCTACACATTCACTCCGCTATCAACATTTTATTTTTCATTTCATTACCAACAATTTATCTTTATAAAGCATGATAAAGAGCAACCCGATTCTAAGCAAGCTGCAATTTTGGGCACTGATGCCGACACTGTTGACATTGAATATGCAACGGACCATTACAATACGGGAATTTATGATTTTCTTATGAAACTGCCTGGAATTAATAGCAAAAATATTGGTAGAGTTATGAATTGCGGCGGATCACTTGATCAATTAATAAGAATGACCAAGGTAAGCTGAAGATACAAATGATATCTAATAAAAATACAAGTTTTTTAAATTTTTTATTATTTTTATCTTCCTATATCTGCAACCAAAATTTTTGAGTTTTATCTTCGCAAATTAGTAATAATTTTCTGATTTTACAATCTTTTGTTAGTGTATTCAATATTCAAGCTTAAGTTCCTTATTACAAATTATGTCCTGGAAAATAATTATTTAAATGAAAAACTTTGATACATATTTTTTTTATATTTTATGAATTAACAATACAGATGTGAATTTTGTTTAGGATGAACTTGTTGAACTGTTAGGTAATCAAAAAGATGCAGACATGTTTTGGAATATTGTTCATCTAATTCATAAACCAGTTGATAATGAAATCAAATCCAGTTCTGCTACAAACAGAAAACTTCGTATGAAAAGTAGATTGGGCAGAAATTTCAAAAAGACGTAATATTTTAGTGATTTATTTTAGGAATCGCTTATCAACCATTTAACTTTTTAATCTTAAATGAAATAGTTTTCACATGTAATAATTTAAGTAGAGCAACTTTGTACATACATTTATCAATTTTACAATTTTCTTATTTGATATTTGATAAAATTAAATATTTTTAATATTGAAATATTTTAACATCTGAAGTACAAGTCAATTTCATATTTCTTAACAACACAATATTATTTGTACTTAAATGTAAATAAGACCTTGAATAGATAACAATAGGCCATAAAAATATAATTCATTTTTTACTTATTATTTATTAATTACATAGTGAATTATTGTTTGTGGTGGTAAAACTTGGTGTTTGAATGATAATATATGGGTAATATCTAAATATCCACATTATCTAGCACTCTACATTTAGTTTTGTAAGTTTGTATAATATTTTGTATCCATTTGTACATTCTGTGCATGTCCACATAGTTAACAAAGTGTTTTGTAGCTGTGGCTTACCGCTGCGGACAATTGTAAAAACTTAATTTTTCGGTGATAAAATGTTATAATATATTCAGTTAAATTAGATCATTGTTTTTATATTATCCTGCTTTTTAGCATTCCTATCCGCTGTCATTAAAATTTGTTGTATAGTTACTTATATCCGGTGTAAAAATATTCGCTTAGAATAAAAAAGTATAGGTGAAAATAGTTGAAGTGGCGGACATAGCTCAGAGGTAGTATGCCTGTTTGTAAATTGTAATATATAATTATACTTGAATACATATAATATATATAATCTAACTATTGAAGATGTACGAAAAAAGCCCAGTATCAAGTAAAATTTTTTGACAGAATTGGAAGAATATGCAATAGCATTAGCAGAAGAGATGGATTCAGAAGAAAAAATATTAGTAAAATTAAGATAAAGTAAATGATGAAATAATAGAAGTATTTGAAGAAGTAGATAATACTGACTTGGTAATCAAATCATTATATGGTATATTAAGTATATGGTTTTTATAATGAGCAACTATTTCGGCTTATTCCTTATTTATATTTAAATCTTATTGACAAATCAGTAAATTGCGTGTTGTGGCAGCAACCCGGTGAATGATTTTGAAAATGAGAAATTTAAGTATTTAACCGATATAATTCATTACATATTTCTTAAAAACGATGTGACGATCCCTAATGTTCTATTTAGTATTAGTTCATACATATAAGTTTATACTTATTTATCTATATTCTATATTATCTATTCTTATATTATCTATATAGTTCATATATGGTTCATATCATAGATAAAATCTTGATAATAAAAGAGTTACCAAAAGTACACAATTTTCTAATAAATATAATAGCTGAATAAGATAGCCATGACATAAAAGTACATATAGGAGTACATATATAATATATTAATATATGAACTATAACTCCGTTTTCGCTTTTGTTTCTAATCCATTATTTATGATTATAATAAATTTGACAATGACAGGTGACAGCTGTCACCAGCTATCATTTTTGTTGTCAAATGAAAGTTTTAGCAAACGTGGTTGAAACATGTCATGCCAAACATTATTATTTTTACTTAAATTAATATGATAAATGATCATTAACAAATATTTCAGCATAACAATAAAAGAAAAATATCATAAACATCTTCACAGAAAAACACTTAACTCGTGTTTGTACTTAGTGATATAATGATACATAGTTTGTTTATAATAAATAACTCTGGGTAATTTTTAATTCTGATATTTTTATTTGTGTCTAAAAGTTATTTAATTGTGCCAAAATTTTAGTGATGTCTTTCTGGAGAAACATTGGAGAAGTGTTGTTTCGCGTTCAGTTTGCGATTATTTTCTTGATGCACAAAGGGCAACGCCAAACGTATGTCAATGAAATTATTTATATAAATGATCAATCAATAATTGTAGCAAACCTTTTTCTATTATTTTAATACTGCTTAAAAAAAACTTTTTTATACAAATAATATTCTATTAATATTTTATAATATTAAAATTAATCTACTAAGAACGTTGAATTACAAAGTATTTAGTAATTCAATTTTCTATTTTTGTACATTACTATTTAAGATCATCAGCTTTATACAAGCTGAAAAATTGTTTAAATGTTTTATCATTAAATTTATATGTCAGAAGTATATTTTATGTTCATAGCTTTTAAATAACAAACACGATAGATAAAAAAATACATTTAAATTAAAAAGGCTAAATGTAAAAACAGAAATGTTATTCAATCAAATTCTATATCTCTTTTATTAATCACTTTAGGATGTACCGCCTGTTATTCCCACACCACATCATTATTTAGTATCTGTTCAACGTGATGGAATAAGCCTCGTAGCAGCTTGCAAACAAGAAGTGGCACCTTTATTTGTAATAGAGTTTTTACACAGAGTAATTGATACATTTGTGGATTATTTTTCTGAATGCACAGAGACCATAATAAAAGAAAACTATGTTGTTGTTTATGAATTGCTCGATGAAATGTTAGACAATGGCTTTCCATTAGCAACAGAAAGTAACATATTGAAAGAACTTATAAAACCTCCAAACATATTACGAACAATTGCAAATACGGTTACCGGGAAATCAAAGTGAGTACCTTGTTTTACAAAAAGATTGAAATTTTGACCAAGTTGGCATAAAATAATTTTTGTTCAAGTGTTAGTGGCACACTTCCAAGTGGTCAGCTTTCAAATGTTCCCTGGCGACGAACAGGTGTTAAATATACCAATAATGAGGCATATTTTGATGTTGTAGAGGAAGTTGATGCAATAATTGATAAATCGGGTGCTACGGTATTTGCAGAAATTCAAGGATATGTATGAAAGTTATGTTTATATCAATAAATCAATTCTATATTTTTATACTATGTTGTATATTTATAGATTGATTGTTGCATTAAGCTGAGCGGTATGCCAGATTTAACACTTTCATTCATGAATCCAAGATTGTTTGATGATGTGTCATTCCACCCTTGTGTTAGATTCAAGAGATGGGAGGTTTGTTTATTTTGGATACAATATTATTTCACTTTCAAGAATTAGATAAGCATTCTATGCATTAGTAAAACAAATAATATTTTTGGTATAATGTCTGAAGGGCATTCCTAATTAAGTATACTTAATTTTTTTCAGAGTGAAAGAATTTTGTCATTCATTCCACCAGATGGTAACTTTAGATTATTATCATATCATATAGGCATGCAAAGTGTTGTAGCTATTCCAATATATGTAAGACACCACCTCACCTTTAAACCCAATGAGCAAGGCCGTTTAGATATTACAGTTGGTCCAAAGCAAACGTTAGGTAGAACTGTGGAAGGTAAATTTTCTTATCCAATTTTGAAATCAGTAATTGAATTTGTTCTTTTTTACCTTTAACTTTCTAAATTCCGAATTTAGGTGTGCGTTTAGAAGTTTGTTTACCAAAATACGTTTTGAATTGCTCATTGGTAGCAAATCAAGGAAAATACTCATTTGACCCTGTAACTAAAATATTACATTGGGAAGTTGGTCGTATTGATGTAACAAAACTGCCAAATATCAGAGGAACAGTAAGCTAAATTTCAATTTATATTTTATTAAACAATTTGAATTTACATTTTAATAACTACATTTACCAAAAAATATGTTATAGGTATCAGTTACAAGTGGTGCCAGTACAGTGGAATCAAATCCTTCCATAAATGTTCATTTTACTATTAGTCAGCTCGCTGTATCTGGTCTTAAAGTTAATAGGTTGGACATGTATGGGGAAAAGTATAAACCATTTAAAGGGGTCAAATATGTAACAAAAGGTGGCAAATTTCAAATAAGAATGTGAAATAAATATCCATATATATATATACAAATATATTCAGTGTGAGCTCATAATGATTTTTATATGAATTTTATTTAAACCTAAATAAATTTAAACACAAATATCTAAGAATTAAAAACCTGGTATTACTCTGCCTCTTTTAACTGCCTTTTTTAATTTTTTATTTTTCTTATCATCTTTTCTTTTATTTATATTTGCTTCTCGTTTCTTTTGTCTCTCTTCCTGTGCCTTTTTAACTCCTTCTTTCCTAGCTTGCCATTTTTTGGCACTGGATCTTTTAATTTGTTCTTGTTTTTTAACTGATTTTTTCAATAAGTCAGGGTCGTCCCTTACTTTTTGTCCATCTGCTTTAGCTAATGCAGCTTTCCAGGCTAATTTTTCTTTTAATTCTTGCGCTTTTTCAACATCTCCTTGAGACTTCAATTCTTCTAGTTTTTCTTTATTTTTATTTAATTTTTCAAGTATCTTCTGCGGGTCATTCTCAGCCTTCTTTTCTAAAATGGGCACAGTCAAATTAGAAATACACAAATATAGTAAAATTTCATAAATAATTCTTAATTTATGACAAAAACTGGTCATAAAAGTATGAATGAACATTAATACTGTACAATACAATTTGAAGACAATTTTACTCAGTTAAAATTAGTGTTGTTTTTAAATACTTACTGAATTTCTTATTATTTGCATCCGAAAAGTCAAACTTTGAAAAGACCATTTTGCCTTGACTATTAAATACAGGTTTCGATGGCTTAATATTCTTTTCAGTGTCATCATTTTCTTCTGATTTAACTTCACTTTCTCCTGCTTTAGGTACTTTTACTGTTTTAGTATTCAATCTTTCTCCTTTTTTAATCTTTTTCTTTATATGTGTTCGTAACGCCTTTTTGGATAATTTATCTTTATATGTGAATGTTTTCTTTTTTTTTAAACTCTAAACGTGCTTGCAACTCTTCCAAACTTTTTGCTCGAGATGCTTTAAGTCCTTTTGAAGATGTGGCTTTTAAAAGTTTATTTTTTCCGACTTTTGATTCAGCGGGAATTTCATCATCATCTAAATAAACATGGTTATATTAATTATTTAATTATATTTCCTTTTATACATGGTGGACTCCTTACATACCTCTGTTTTGACTTGGAAGATCAACTTTAGAAAATACATTTGTGATAAATGAGTTCTCATCAAGCAAAATTTGTTTAATTTTATTTATATTAAAATTAGTTTTATTCATTTTGAGTTGCATAATTTAGAAATTTAAATAAAGTTTACTTTATTAATAAAATATAAATGCTAAACTTAACCTTAAATTTAATATATTTCCACCTTAAAGAAAACGTGCGTTTATGTCACATTGTTACCACGTGCAGTTTAGCCACAACGCGCAAAAGAAAAATTTTCTTTTGACATTTGAGATAAAAATTAACCTTACATTTTAAAATTTTTGTCTTCAACATAAAGATATTTTACACTATCATTTAATATATTTCGACGGTTTTGTTTAGTTATACAACTGAGATATTATAAACCAACAGATAATTTTATATCCTAAAATGGTGAGTTATTTTAAATATAAATTATTACTTAAATATAATATAATGTAATAATATTACTTACTCACAATAATTTTAGCTTCATCTGATATATTTAATAGCAACATTTTTGTATATAAATTAAATTTAATATAAAATTATATTTTCTGTATGTAGTTCATCAAAATGTTATAAAATTAAATGTGAATGTAATAAAAAAAATCAGTTCAACTGTCACCTTTAAATTTTATTACAACAGACAGAAACATAACTGCAATCCACTTTTATGCGATTTCTAACATGAATATTCAGAACTGTTTGATTGCTGATTTTTTACATCATATCTGCTGTGCTTCTTCAGTAAATTGCAACTTTAATTTAACTTGCAATATTTATAAAACGACTATTTTTCATTTATTACTTTTAACTACATATATGCATAGACAAGTGTTAAACAAGTATCTTTTTCAATTATTTTTTAGTCAGTGACGATTCACACAGATGTTGGTGATATGAAAGTAGAAGTGTTTTGTGAAGATTGTCCTTTAGCTGCTGAAAACTTTTTAGCATTATGTGCTAGTGATTATTACAATGGTTGTTTATTTCATCGAAATATAAAAGGTTTCATAGTACAAACCGGTGATCCTACTGGTACTGGTAAAGGCGGTACCAGCATTTGGAATAAGAAATTCAAAGATGAATTTAAAGAAAATTTGAAGGTTGGAATATAGATTAATGTAGCTTGTTTTATATAATATTCTCTCTTCTAACTCATGAATAATAAAAAATATTTTCAGCATAATGAGAGAGGCATGATATCAATGGCGAATAATGGACCAAATACTAACAGTAGCCAGTTTTTCATAACTTATTCAGAGCAACCCAGCTTAGATTTAAAATATACAGTTTTTGCAAAGTAAGCTTTCTCAAATTACATGTGCGTAATATTATATATAATCATAAAATTTTATTATACAATATTGGTTTTATATTTTTTCAGAGTGATAGATGGTTTTGATACTTTAGATGAATTAGAAAAAATTCCTGTCAATCCCAAGAACTATAAACCAACAACAGAAGTTAGAATTTCAATATAACAATACATGCAAATCCTTTAGCAAAATAGATATTGGTAATTATCATATAAAATAATAATTTGCATATTATACTATTTTATAAGAATTTTTCAATGGTAAGTAATTTCTTAAGAAGAAATATATTATTAAAGAAACTTTTTTATTAACAAAAATCATAAGCTCATAATAAATGTGAATTGGCCAACTGTATATATACATCTAAAATACACTTAATATCTTCTAATACTTAAGCACTTAATATAAGTACAAAAATAGTTATTTAGCTTAACTTAAATATAGTTTGTGATTGCATTTTCTTACCTCATAAAACTTTGTATAAATATTTATAAACTAGAAATATTTTAACACTGTTCTCGAACAGAATATAAAATTCAAATTTGTTTAAATTTAATTTAATAAATTTCTTAACAGAACAAAGCTTCAAGTTTATAATTTTAATGAAAGCATTAAAAACTGAACTGAGAAAGAGATAAAATATTAATTGGTAATGTTATAATAAATTATAAGTTGTCCTTTTAAAATATAATTTTACCTTTAAAAATGCTATTGAATTTTGTAAGTAACTCAAAATATGATCAAACTCATAAGTAAAGAATTAAGAATAAGAATTTTATAAGTAACTTAAAGCTATCTATTGCTGATAATTATAATTTGTCCTCATTACGTCACCTTTGTTTAAATTTCTTCAACATTATGTTGATCACTGTAATCGCCATTGACCCTTTTACCTTTTGGATCGAACGGGCTTCTTAAATGACAATTAGCGTCATATAGTTTTCCCATTACTTCTACTTGATATTTTCCAGTTTTGAGAAAATCTGCGTCAATAACGCCTCCATCGGGACGAGATATGTAAGCTTGGCCAATTGGTTTGCGTAATGTGTAACCGTACTCGCCGCGTCGAAGATGACCCACGATTTCACCGTTTCGCCAAACACCTTCTAAGCCCCATATTGGTACCTAAAATTAATAATAAATTGTAAATTAATTTTGTTTAACTTGCCCGTAGAGAATGTTATATTTTTTTTGCCAGAAAATCCGACTTGCAATTTGGGGAAAAGATGGAATTTGCATGTGTGTATATTTTTGCAAAAATATCTGAACCGATATCAAAAATTTAAAATCCAATCAATATAACTTTGTAAGTACTCGCTTTAAATAGTAAGAATTTGCAAATATTTGTCAATCAATCAATTAATTGGTAATTATTCGAGTAACTATGCACTATATTTTATTATTAACTTCCCGTAGGGTAAGTTATAGTAATCGCAAAAATATCGAAAATGAAAATTATTATATATCTTTACGTTTCAAAGGTTTCTGAATATTTCGGCGTGCCTTCGAAAATATGGATGTATGTATTTGTGAGTATGTGTATGTTTTTTTTTGAATAGCGAATGTGTGTGCGCGTGTATGTGTGTGTGCAGATACAAATTTTCGTCAACGATTTTGGGCACTCCGATTAATCGATTTGAGTAATTCAAGAAATATTCGATTCGTATTGATAAGAAGACGTGCTGAGTTTTTGGCAAAGGCAGTTCGAGTCGTTTTGAAGATACGGAGCAAAAAGTGCCAAAAATGGTAATTAATTTTTTGAGAGAAGGGAGCGTCCGATTTTAGTAATTCAAAAAACATTTTACTTGCATTGACGAGATGAAAAACTGATTAAATTTTTAGAAAGGCGGTTTCGGAGATCTAGTAAAAAAAGTGAAAAAAATGCCATTTGGCGGTCAAAAGTGATCATTACACATATACTCATCAAATTATCATATATTTTATAAAATTTTTAATAATATATATCAGTTTTGTTAACTTTTCTATGAGTTCAGTTCGTTCGTTTGTTAGACTGCGACGCGGCGTTTACGCGCTTCGATATTTTGTCTCTATGCAGATAAAGCAGTGCGATTGCTTTAAAAAAAAGTTTAAAATTTTCAAAATAAAGAAAAGGGTTTTTTAAAGTCTTTTGCCAAAAAAGTTTTTTTTTCAAAAATTTTAAATTTTTCAAAAATCTAATTTTTTCAAAGTTTAAAAAAAAATTAATCTTTATTTAATCAAAAAATAATTTTTGGTACGGGAAGTTCTAGCAATTTGCCTTAAGGCACGATGCCATACACCACTAGTTTCATTTATTATTATATTGTCTAGAGCTTATTCTATGGCTATTCTTTTTTTTAAAGTCTTTTGTCACAATTTCGTTTCAGTGTCATCAGTTTCTATTGTGTATATAGTCGAGTCAGTTTCTGTACAGTATTGTGTTATTCATATATTATATAAATAAACAGTTATTAATTTGTTAATTCATAATGCGATCAAATCGTTATTTCCAAACCACCAGTAGCTGTCCGGTTGGACTCTACACAGGTAACATTAATTTTATATATAAAATTATTACTTATTCCTTTCTGAATATACTGATTTTTTTATTCTTCGATGTATGAGGGGTGAAAAACCGAAATGGGTTAAAAACCCATCTTCAACAAAACATGGTTCAAAAAGTATGTTAATTAGCCCATTTTGTAAAATTTTGATTAGAAGTTTTACATAATAATTTTGTAAATTTTTGAAGTTTGTGCATTTTTGAGACAATTTACTAACTTGAGCATCCATAGTGAAAAAAGCCAATTTTCGTCTGATGCCATTTTTGCGTTGTTCGTCAATGGCTGCTTTTCCGATGTAGTCTCCAGTCTTTCGGCATGTAAATGCCAATCCTGCTTCTATGGGCGTATCATCAGGCCGCAGGTCGGAATGCCATAAATGGTACCCTAATAACAGACCAAAATTATGAATAAATAGTATCAGTAATGGATGATTAAATAT